GAGTTAAAGATAAAAAGAAATCGAATGTACATACAAATTATTCATATTCATATTTCTGCACATCCGTAACAAATATATTGATCAAATATATTCTAACTTTTAATCAAGTATAACTTTTATATTCTCCCAATTGACTGATTATGCCTTGAATATTTGAGCAACAATGAAGAAGAGTATCGACAGCACTAAGATTATCAGTAAACATCAACGAAATACTGTCCCTCAACTTCACTATTTTGCAGCAAATAGAAATGGTTATCCGAAAAAGTTGGCAGTGCTGTTTTATATCTTATTGTGTGATTAACTTAGAAGTGAAAATTTCGAAGTGTAAGTCTGCAATAGTGAGTTTGTATTTCGCCGATAAGTGTAGAATTAAATAGGACTAGGTAAACTCTAAAGTGACTCGTTCCTATAAGGAGTCGTTCTCAAGTTATGACCATTTTATTGGATATTGTTTTAGTTTCTAATAAAGCATCTAATAGAAAATTAAATTCTACATTTTCAATCTGAGACTATGATGATAAATAGAATTCAACGCCATTCAAATGTCTTAATTGATGTATCAAGGAGATTCTTTCTTATCAAGGTTTTCCATATAGAAATGACACAGTGTTCTTTTTCATTGGCACGCCTAATAATCACTTTTCGCGAATTCAAAATCTTGATATAAAAACTGGTTTTTTTTTAACTGAAACTATGAGAAAATTTGGATAAACATAAATCACTTTCATGAGCGAACTCTTAAATCAATAGTCTCTAACCTATTTCCGATAAAATCCCTTGCTAAAACTTGGCAATGCAGTGGAATAATCGTACTTTGGAAATGAAAAGTTATTTTTTCATTGTTATGGTATTATTAGGCTCTAAATAGTAATGGATAAAAGACTATTTACAATGAAGTTTTATATTTAGCAGCTTTCTTATTTCAGCAAAGAAGTTCATTGTGGCTTCATATATACACATTTAAACTAAGTATGACATAAATATCAGACAATGAGAGATGAGACAATTTGATAAACATTTAAACATTCATTTCTTTAATTTTGTTTTAGATAAAATATTCCGAGCGTCTAATTGTTCTCATCGTCTTCCAACATTTGTTTGTAATTATCTAATCCTTAATTGGTTCGTTTAACTTATGCGTAATCGATTGAAAGATACAGAAGTTATCTCAATACACTAGAAGCCTTTACCAAGCAAATCCTTGGTCTTCATTATTTTCATTGAATTTAAGTCTTACCTTTAAGATCAGTAAGTAGTCAATGTTTGATTTACTACCGCAACTTTGAGTCTATGAGTCGTGCAAACTCAAGAGTGGCATCATCATTTTTGATATTATTGTCTAAATTTCTCGCAGCTATGTTTTATTGAAATCGATAGTAAACATCAAGAAACCTGTTGATACAATTTAGACTGTTGAAAAAAAATACCCTGAACGAATAAATTAATTTAGTATATGAGAAGCACTTATTTTACAATATTTTCTAGAAAACATGTTTTCATTATTTACGTGTGTGTTGTTTTTTTTAATTTTTATGTAAAATGTTGAACCAATTAAGTAACATGATATCCGAAAGATGGAGTGGCATTCACTTTATAAATTGTATACACGATGGCTTTCGAGGACACTTCATATCTTGAAAGTGGCTATACCCAAAATTCTGAAACTTTCAGCTCAAAAATAACTCTGCTAATAGAGTAAAAGTCATAAAAACTCCAAAATTATCTAAAAATTGTTGGAAGATGGTATAGGTAGGTAGTGGAAGTGGCCAAACATATACACCCGGACTTCTATTGCATAGCATTAATCGAGTAGTTTAAAATTGACTTCTTAGTGATGTCGAATATGGCAAGATGATGCATGTATTTGTCTAAAGAAAAACATATATTTAAGACATTAAACAACTAAGTTGAATAAGACAATATGATTTATTATATCTTTTCGTTCATTCTGTTCATTTAGAGACCAGGAGAGCAGTTGTAGAAAAGTATGAACATAGAAAAGTTAATGGATAACCTTGAAGAAAGTCATTTCTAGCAATGATTTTTCTGTTGTTTGATATCACATAATTCTTTATTATGAATGGTAGATATGTTTGTAGAATTCTAGTGACAAATACGAATTGGAGTCTATTTCTCCAACATCAATCGATCACTTGGGTTTTCTATATTCAAAATGGATAGGAAGTTTTATGTAACCGCTTTTCAGTCAACGTTCACTATTAGATCAAATCAATCGGATATTACTAAATACGAGTCTATTGAAACAATAGCTAAGGCAATTCCACTATTTCCCATAAGCCAAGACATGGAGGCTAAGGTCAAGGACGGTTCGCTCGCTGAAAAAGGCGCACAATTCATACTTCCTGATCTTCTCTTTTGGGTGGCATTTACTGGTCATATCGGCATGGCCAAAGTTCTCATTCTTCATATTCGACCTCGCATTTGTGCGGCACTCTATTGTACCGCCATTCTCAGGAATCGTGCTAGCAAGACAATTGCTAGTGATAAACGTCATCTGTATCGGCAGCAAGCAGACGACTTCGAGATTTATGTTACTGACTGCATCAATGCTTGTTATTCGAAGCGCGAGCGTAAGGCTTGCGAATTAATGATTCGTCAAGTACCTCTATTTGGCAATATAACATATATGCAGGTAAAACATTTCCAATAATATCCTGAGTTTTGAATGAAGAGAATTTCTAGGTGGCCATCGCATGGCGTTGTTCACTCTTCATCAATACAGATTGTTTCAGTCAAGTGCTCAATCGTGTATGTTTCAACAAACTCACTCAAATGAGTTTTTCAGTTTCTAGCGTTGTCAAAGGGGTAGTGTCGCTTTTGACATGCAGTTTGCTTGCTCTGTGGCTCATTTCATATTGTCTCACAGAAGTTACAGACGAAGTCTACTATCAAAAAGAAGATCAAACGATCACTCATTTAGTAATGATCAATTGCATTTGACCCTCTTGTAAACGTATTTTGTATCTTTGTGTTTCATGTTAGTGTAAGTTTCATCTATTTAAGAACGAAATAAGAATCTGAATCCATTTTTAGAATAGCCGTTCTCTTTTAACATTGTCAATAATTAAATCTTCTAATTGATACTGAATGAAGTCTATCATCACTAGCCATTGCCTGTTCTGAACAATCCCAACTGCTTCACATCATACACAAATGAATATCGATGAATGTAGTCTATTTGAAATGTATTTCATTTTACAAATATGTTTTTTTTTCTTTCTTTGTCATCATTCTTCGTCTACTCTCCATGTTGCACATTATTCTGTTACCATCAGCAGTCCTTCTCAAAAAAGCGCGTGGTTGACAAGAATTCAAAAAAAAGACCGAAAAATATAAGTAGAAAGGATAAAGATAAGATATGTAAAATATTATTATCCTGCACAATTCATAAGAGTCCTTCGACAAACACATGAGTCGTCTCGCATACACAATATCCAACAAAATTGGGATCTATTGTCATCGAAATTTCGTTCTAGTAAGTCATTTACTACGATAATTCCTACATAGCAATTGAGAATTCTAAACGTCATAGACATAGGAAGCATATAATTGGAAGAATGCTATGTTGCTTGTCGAATGACACTTTAGTCGACAGGCTTTTCGTCGAAGGAACTTTGTCGAAAAATTTTTGTCGAAATTGTTTTGTAGAAAAGTATTTCGTCGAAAGTGAATTATTTTCTTCTTCAGAGTTAAGAGGACAATGAATTTTCTCTCACACTCACGTTTATAGTGGTCTTGCCCTCACACTTGCCTTCGCTCTCACACTTGGAGTGCCTTGCATGGCACTTACCCTCACCACACTCACCTCATCTTCACACTTGGAGTGCTCTCCATAGGCAAGAAAATACTTCCGACAAAAAGCAGATATCCATCTGAGTTTACCGATGAAGTGCTTTGTCAGCGAAGTGTCCTGTCGACGAAATGCTTTTCAATGAAATGTTGTGTCGACAAAAATTTTTCGACGAAATGCTTGTCGACGAAAATTTTTCGACTAACAACATAATTACCAAAGAAACAAATTAACAATAAATTGAATTTTTATGGCATTCAAGAGAGATGAATTATTTGTGACACATGCTACATCTCCATAGTAAGACGACTTCACCCAAATTTAACTATACCAGTGTCATAATTAGCACTTGTTAAAATTATTCCCATGGTTGACTCAACGCCAAACACTGGTGAATGAGTGCCAAGAGATAAAAGGTTAACACGACGCATTTAATTACGTTGAAAAACGTTTGAAATGATTACTTTTGAAAATAACGCTAACTACTTACCTTTAACTAATGCTTCCCTTTTATTTGTAACTTTTATCACAGTTATAATATTTATACATTTATCGTTCTTTTGATCATTGTCTTTTATAGATTTGAAGTTTCTCTTTTCACAAGGAAAATATTATCCTCATCTACAAGACTGCTTCGAGTGAAACGATTATCAAGTTATGAATTTTCCGTCGCCACATGCGCGTGTACTTCCGCATCAAATTCCGCTTGGCAAGCCGCCTGAAAGTAGAGGAACAGAAGAAGCTAAACAGCTGAACTGTATTCAAGGATCTCTCCTAGGTCTTGCCGTGGGCGATGCACTTGGAGCAAGTGTTGAATTTCGACCTCATCAGTATCTCGTGGTACATCCCGTTAAAAAGATGCAATCTGGAGGTACGTGGGGTTTGAAAGCAGGCCAATGGACCGACGATACTTCAATGGCATTATGTCTCGCCTCATCTTTACTAACTATGAAAACTTTTGACCCTTACAATCAAATGGTTCGGTATAAATGGTGGTACAAACATGGTTTTCTTTCAGCCACTGGACATTGCTTCGATATCGGTAGTACTACTCGTCAGTCGTTGGATCTATTTTGTCATCGTCAAAAAGAACTTATGAAAGTTTTATCGTTAAGAAATGAGAATGATGTCGATAAACTTTCAATTATTGATGTTAAGAGTAGACAACCAACATTTGATGTTAATTGCAGTAAACCAGGCAAAGCTGGAAATGGAGCTCTCATGCGTCTTGCTCCAGTACCACTCTTCTATTTTCGAAATCCTCCTCTGGCCGTTGAATATTCCGGTGCCAGTGCACGTGTAACTCATGGTGACAAGAAAGCTGTCGATGCATGCCGTTATTATGGAGCTCTTATTGTTGCTGCTATTCGTGGCGAACCGTTCGAGAATCTGACCAATAAATCTTTCTATACTGAGCACAAAGACTGGTTCGGATCAGATGATCTCCACGAAGAAGTACTTCGTATAGCCGCAGGCTCCTATCAGAAAAATGATGGTTATGATAAAGGTATTCGAGGTAAAGGCTATGTTATAGATGCACTTGAAGCTGCTTTATGGGCTTTTTGGAAATATAAAGGATCATTCAAGGATGGTGTCCTTGCTGCAATCAATCTTGGAGACGATACAGATACAACAGCTGCTATTTATGGTCAATTGGCGGGAGCCTATTATGGTGCAGATAATATTCCTGCAGATTGGGTTGACAAACTTTATGCTAAAGAGTTGATCAGGGACATCGGCAGTTGGTTACACTACGAAGGAGATTCATTCATGTTAGAAAATAATCAACCCAAAGAATCATCCCATCAGCAAGTTCATTCAACAGATAAACATCCAAATAACCATAATGCTTCGGAATCAATGTCAACGGTTATGACTTCATCACAATTTCCCAATTCCGATTCGCACAACACAACATATCCTACCTATGATCCAAGCATTCAACAACAAGCACCAAAACAATCTAACACTCCATTGAACATCAGTGAACATTCTAATGATCCAAGCTTGTCCAATCCATCTTCTACCAACTCTCAAAATTTACACAATAATCCGAAAAGTAATAGTGACCAGATAGGGAAATCTGAATGGGGTTAATCAATGCTCAGCTTTGGATATTCAACAAATCAAGATAAAAACTATATAGAAATGTAACATCTTTTTTTCTTTTTTGAACGACCGTAACTACAGAATCTATGAAATCGATTGTTTCTGAATGCAACCAGTAAATATGAGCGGCGAGGATTTGTCTGTTATGATACTTCGATAACGGTGTGTGTGTGAATGTGAGTCGATGCGCGTGAAGAGGTGAGCCTCACCCACACCACTTACATCCGCCATATTTTGTTGAATGATGACCAAAAATTGTTGTATTTTCAATCTTTCTCTGGAGAACAACCAACACGAACTTGATGGACGGAAACGATGAAAATATTTCTTCAAGTAGCCGATTGAAAATGAGAATTCTTTCGATACTATAATGAACAGTAGTATAGTTATCAATATAAGAAGTCAGTTCCTAGTAATACAAGTACTTAAAATTCATTCATTGAGAATTATCCATGCTGATATTTATAGATTTCATGTTCATGTCTGCACTAACGAAGGAGATACGCGAAGTGATTCACCACTTTAGAGCCCATACTTTGGGCACATCGAGAGAACATCTAGATTAGAATAATCCTAAAAGGATTTGAGCCCATGATCCTTTTGAGCTGAGATATTGAATTTTCAAGTTTTAGCAGGTAAGAAGGATTTTGATTCATTATTCCGATAATTTCGAACATAAAAATGTTCTATTATCTAGAAATTTCATAATAAACTCTCTGTTTCGTCAGCAAATTACTGTGAAATTTTCAGATTTTATCTCATTCCTGTAAGCCACAATGTTGTTTCTGTAATATCAGCCATCATCACAGAGGCAATAGCCCACGAAATGGCAAATAATGGATACACATTAGAGACATTCTTTTGCGTTCTTTTGAGAGTGATGAAAAGAAATGATATGATATGAAAGATGCGTGCTGTGATGTGATACTGTTAATCGAACGAAGCATTCTTCATCAAATAACACGTTCTTTAGGCTTTTGTGTAACAAAAATATTAGTCATTTCGCAAGAATCGCGAAGGGTGTGGATGAGTTAAGACAACACCCACACCCATACCCACACCCGCACCCACACCCGCACCCACACCCACCCACACATCCACACCCATACCCACAGCCGTATCCCAATCTCATACTCAACGTTCAAATTCAGACTGCACATCCAACATCACCCCTTGTCACATCTACACTCTCTTTACAATAGTTAATGAAGATCTAATCAGATTGCTGAATTTTTACAGTATGTAACTATTGTTTAAAAGAAACAATCAAGCATTGTTCATAAATATAAAATACAAGAATTAGAGCAAATTTTCTGATTATTATATTAATTACTGTCTAACATCAATAACATACGACATCTAAATATATAATGTGCAAGGAGTCGCTTTGCTTGTTAAATCATTGGGTTTTCACGATTAGAAATGTTGTCGAATAAGATGATGAGAGTGATTGTAATAAAAAAGTGATAAGCATATATTATTGTTGAATCTTATTCAACTAGACTTAATCAAGCATTTTAACATTTTTTATGGGTTACTTTTTCTCCATATAAATGAAGTTTTAAAATAGAAATTTTTTTATCTTCATATTATTTACACATGTAAAATGTAAAACTTTTTATCTTTTACTTTTTTTTTATCATATTCGATACGGT